CTGTCACTTACACATGATAAGCAGTAGAAAGATTAGAACAAAGGTCTGAATCCAAAGTCTAAGCATTTAACCACTATCTACTACAATGTGTATTATGAATGAGAAGTGACTGCAAACAAAAAGACATGTTTGAAATACCAAATCGGTTTTATTTGCTGATGCATATTCAGTGCCTAGCACAGTGCCTAGTACATAAAAACTCCTCAATAAATAGTTCTTTAATTTTTAAAGAAGTTAGCATAGTCCCTATTAAGCACCTAATAAAAACAGTATCAATGGTGGTGATGATGATGATGTCAAAAAAGTAGGGGAAGGTAAAAAGGTCAACCATTTGAGATTTTATCATGACGTAGGACACAATGGAGTTTCCAACTCTCATGAGATCACATTATAATGACAGTATTCACATTATGTAAAACTAACAGGGAAACAAAGGAAATGCTGTTGTAATAGTCTACATGAAGGTTTATCATAGGTATATATTAGATTAAAACCCAAATTCTGTGCATCCCATTTCTTTTATTTCAGATTCATGTTTAAGGAAAATGTAATAAATGATAATAAATATATATATCTCAATGGTAATTTTTCTCCTCATCCAATCCTTCCTTTCAAACTTTTTTGTTTCACTTTTCTGTATATTTCCCTTTTAAAATTTTAAACAGTGAACTATGAACTTAAATTAAAAGCTAAACAGAACAAAAATTTTTTCATGACTTCTGAAATATATATATTAGCATAAATCTCAAAGATTTAAGAATTTCATAAAGATAAAAATAATCAAATATTAATATTAGCTATAATTCACTGAGTACCAGTTATATCCTAGGTGCCTCTATACCTTGTCTCTAATCCTTAAAATAATCTGGTAAATTAGTTAATATTTACATCTTACATGGGAGGAAGTAAACCTGGAGAGGCTAATAAGTAACTTGCCCAAAGGCACATGGTCGGTATTAAGTGTCAAGACTGTGACTTGAACCTTAGTCCATCTGATTCCAAGGCTTATAGTCTTCCCATTGTTTCAACCTGTCTCACAAAGTACTGGGAACATTTTGTTTTATGCAGTTTTGATTATACCAGATTCTTATTCTTATAAATTATACAATCAGCTGGGGAGACAAGTTGGACTAACATATACATAAGTTACATAATAAAGACATAAAAGTAAAAAAGGGAGAAATCTGAAGGACAAGAAAAGTGGCACAGGTAAAATGGCAAGATCTGATCAAAGCCATCACATGGATTTCATAAGATGTTGGTTTATGTAATCTTTATGTGTCGAACCTATCACAGGAATTATTTTAAGATTAGTGAGCAAGTAACTTAAAACAAAATCACACCTTTTAAAAGTAACATTACTTTTTCTAATACTAAATCACTGCAGAAAACCTGAAAAGGCAGAAAAAATCCTGTTAAGTGAAGCATTTATACACCCATTAACACTATTAAAGTTTGACCCTCATTTTATATTATATACATGTGCATACAGTTTTTTAACAAAAATTATAAATACAGCTTCCCCCTACTTCTTTGACTTAACTTTAATTCATAAAGTTTTTTCATATCATTAAATATTCTTTAAAAATGTTTTTAAATTACTGAACAATGTCTCATACCATAAAGATACCTGAATTTATTTAACCATTGCCTTATTATTCGATTGATTCTAATTCTATGGCTATCATAACTTATACTGATATGAATATTCTTATATATATATATAAATCTTTACATTTAATATACTCGAAGAAAATGGCTATTTCTTTAGAATACCTTATATTTTAATTAACATTTTATTTGAAAAACCTATAGACATACATTTTTGTATCCTATTTGCAATTTCCAATTTTCAGATGTTTTAGCATGTATTTCTTTTAATGTGGAATATTTTGACTTTTAAAACATTTTATATTCTGCTTAAGTATACTATAATACTTGTATGTGTATGCACATTTGTAATATACTTTAGCAAATACATTTTTATTTTGAATATAAAAATGAGCAGTGATAGAAACAAATATCCATGCTTGTGTGGATTCTTTGTTCTTTCATATGACTAAATAAAACATTTATCACATGTACTCATAGTACCATAATGTTCCTCTTTCTATGAGGGTAGTAACATACTTTTTTTTGTTACTGTGTTTAGCTTTTTGATCGCACTTACTACTGATCAGGTAGGAGATAAGCTTTTTCAAGATTAGCTTTTCTAAGATAAACTTTTAAAAAATTCATGTATAATGAGAAAATATGAAAAAGTTCAAGAGTTACCAAGAGTCAGTTTATAAATTTCCTGTAGTTTCAAACCAATGGATTTCTTAAACAATCCAGCTTTTTTCTTTTGATGTATTATAATAATAATTCTCTCTAAGGTTAAAAGTAAAATATCTTCAAGTTTTTTAATAAGATAGAACTAAAACATTAAAAAGTAAACATACATTTTGAAAATTTATACTTTAAAAAACTTAGGGGATTTAAATTTTGAGTCATTTTCTTTTTTTAAAATTTATTTATTTTTGGCTGCATTGAGTCTTCGTTGCTGCACACAGGCTTTCTCTAGCTGCGGTGAGTGGGGGCTACTCTTCGTTGTGGTGCGCAGGCTTCTCATTGTGGTGGCTTCTCTTGTTGTGAAGCACAGGCTCTAGGCATGCGGGCTTCAGTAGCTGTGGCACATGGGCTCAGTAGTTGTGGCTCACGGGCTCTAGAGTGCAGGCTCAGTAGTTGTGGCGCATGGGCCTTGTTGCTCCGCAGCATGTGGAATCTTCCCAGACTAGGGCTCGAACCCGTGTCCCCTGAATTGGCAGGTGGATTTTTAACCACTGCACCACCAGGGAAGTCCTTGAGCCATTTTTGTAACTAAATGGTTGGACATGTTTCTTTAGGATTGCTTAGCTCCAGAGAAACTATATAGCACTACTATTTTCATCAATTTAGGAAGCTATAAAAATATCCTAAGCATCTTTCAAACATTCAACATTTATTGAAATAGTATTTTGTCATTAATGAGAAGAATTTGATGTTAACAAGAATCATAAAGCAATCAAATTCTTTCCATTTTATGCATGTGTGATTCATACTGTTTAGTAATAGGAAACCCTTAAATATATACCAATAAATAAATATGTAAAGTATATGATTAGCTATATTACACAAAAGCTTAAAGAGTAAATATTAATGCTTAATGTTCTTTCCCCTCCAAGAGATAAATGAGCTACACAGGTATATGAATTCATGATTTACAATAAATCACAATGGCCTAAATCTTATTAAAATACATCTGTTAAGACACATACAAAGTTAAATTATAATGCAAACACCTTAAAACAAATGTACTTCTTGTAATACCATTTCAGCGATTAGTATACATATTTGATTATAAAAAGCCAAGAAACTTCTAAATTGTTCTAAATTTATATTTGAATTATTCATTTTTAACATACTGTTAATTTTCCTTAAAATATATTACTCTCATATTTCCCCACTAAAAAAGAAACAAAAAATTCATAGTAGTTTAACATAATAGAAAAACAACCATCTGGTATTTGGCTGGAGTATTTATTTATGATCATCTTAGTTATATAGTTATATTTTCATGGTGACGTTCTACTTTGCACAGTAATATTTTGAAGACAGACAGTATCTGTTAATCATTTCTCTGACCTAAAACACCAGAATTCTTTCATATGCAACCAGGTTAAGTGGTTTATTATATTTAAAAATTTTTTATGTATGTATGTATGGCCGCGTTGGGTCTTCCTTGCTGCACGTGGGCTTTCTCTGGTTGAGGCGAGTGGGGACTACTTTTCATTGGTGTGCGTAGGCTTCTCATTGCAGTGGCTTCTCTTGTTGAGGAGCACAGACTTCAGTGGTTGTGGCACACAGGCTTCAGTAGTTGTGGCTCGCGGGCTCAGTAGTTGTGGCTTGCGGGCTCTAGAGCACAGGCTCAGTAGTTGTGGCACACAGGCTTAGTTGCTCCCAGGCATGTGGGATCTTCCTGGATCAGGGCTTGAACCAGTGTCCTCTGCGTTGACAGATGGATTTTTAACCATTGTGCCACCAGCGAAGTCCCAGGTTAAGTGATTTATAAAGTATGATTATAACTTCAAACTAATCACAAAATACAATTACTTTTTAAAAGCATTCCAATTGATATAAAAATGTTAAAATAAGGGATCTATAAAATGCCTCTGAATGCTAATTTCTACTATTCTATGAAATATCTCTTTTCTTAACACACTAAAACAGTGTGAGGAAGAGAGTCACAGGGATAATATATAAACTGTAGAGAGAGAGAGACAGAGTCCACCAGAGACAACTGAGAATCACCTGATCATATCTGTAACACATCACAGATACATTTTACAAATTTTCTCCTTGCCATGACCTGTGAATGAAGACAGACTCCAAAACATTTCAGGCATTCATTTATAATCTTAAACTCTGGCAACCTTTTACCAGAAAACATTATCTTCAGGGAAAGATCTTTTCAGGGCAAACATTATCTTCATCATCATCCACGTCATCAGATGAAAATTAATTAACTGCACAAAACAGATTTTTGAATCAAATGTAGGTTTTCACTGGCAATGAATATATGACTATCTTCATACAAAGGAGAAGTATTTTCTCTCAACAAGCTAAAACAATAAGTGGTATGTGAACTGCTGGTTGAAAGGTAGAGGCACTGGTAATCATTATTTCCCCTTGTTTGTTCAGGCCCTTCCAACAAAACAAACAACCTTTTTGTGATTGGAGTGACATGGTGTTAACAATGAATTTAATGCCCAAATCAGTATGAATACAGGTAAAGCTCTCACTAATACCAGTACCAGGATGTTAAAGCCACCTATTTTCTAAGCAGGCAAAAAAAAAAGAAAGAAGACAGAGCTTTCCCTCCTTTGACAAATAAGCGAGTTTGCTACTATTCACCAAGCCACATCAGATAATAACCTTGTGTATGATTTTGAATGCCATATGTTAATACTGATCTACTATACCTGCTGTTTTTTCAGCAATTTGAGCTTCTGTTGCTTTTTCTTGGAGTTCCAGTTTAAGCTTTAGTTTTCTCTGTTCTTCATCTTCTTTAGTCAGTTTTTCTTGAAGCTAAAACACATTGAAATAAACATAGATTCTTACTAATAAATTTCTTGCACAAATATAATTAATCCCAAAGATAATTTTTGCTTTTCTCTAGACCCTTATAGAATAACTGTATTAACTTACTGAATACATAACTCCAGGGGAAAAAAAAATTAAGGTTTTAAGATATTTTATAAAGTAATAATTACCTGAAATGACATAGAAATTATAAAAACATTTTAATATACACTTAATTTTATGTGTGTGTATAGGCAAATGAAATTAAAGAAGGAATAACATTATTATTAAAAATAACTACTGCAGCAAAAAGCAATCTGATCCATTCTTTTGTCTTAAAGCAAGACTTGGAAGGGACTATCATAATAAAATAATGGGTAGCACAAATTATAGCTTCTCTTAGTAATTCTAATATTTTGAAACAAAATTAATTAAGATAATAATCTTAATATTTGATACAAATCTCCCTTTGAGAATGCTATGCCATCATATTCCATTTAAATTGGCATTGGCACCTGGCTCATAATTGGCATGTAATAAACAGCTGGTAAATGAAAATACAGAAAATATCTCAGACTTTCATACAGGATCCCTCCAAATGTTTTCTTTTTAATTTCTCCCTCCGTTTATGTCATTTATGCTGTTTTCCGTCAGACATGATCAACATTCTTAACATCATGCTTCAGTTTGATTAGGTCAAACAACTAGAATATTAGAATCAGAAAAGTATGTAGAGGTTAAAGAAAAAGAAGGCAGGCATAGAAAATGAACATTATTTGAAGCTCAAAGGAATGTAACTAGAAAAAGAGTCAGAAAAGATAAAACATGACATGACAAATTGGATTGGACAAAATGTAGCAGTATAAGATAACACAAGGTAAATGACAATATTTCGAAGCCTTGCTACTTTAAAGTTTACATATATTATTGAGATGAAATACAGGGCACAGATACTACTAAAAAAAAGAAAAAAAAGTTAAGAAAGTAACATGAAACCAATGAAGTAAAATTTGAATTTTTTAGGTACCACAGATCTATGAAAAAGGAAGTGATATTGCAAGCCACCAAGGCAGGAAACCAAAGAAATTGCTTTTCACAGCTCATGTCTCAACTCAATCATACCGTGAATGGCATGGTATGGCAACAGCATAAAGCTACTGTTAAAGGATTAAAGTACACAATAAAACTGAATTATGATGAGTGACAAAGCAAACTTAGAAGGTCAACAGCTAAAAGTATACTGTACAATCATCAGACTTCCTATATTGTACCTTTTTATTGCTTGCTTTGAGAATGTCCAATTCTTTGAGAAGCAATGCTATTGTCTCCTCTTTATTTAATTCTGAAGTAACTTGACAAGGAATCATACATTTGTAATGCAAATCATTATTTCTATGTTCCATAATGCTGTAATAAAGAAAACTATTACAACAATATACATATAATTTCAACTATATAGGATCTATACATTTTACACTTCAAATGGGGGAAACATTTAATTTTAACAGTAAGTATGTAAAGTTACTTAATTTAAATTTTTTCTTGTTATGCACTGTTAAGAAAATACTATGGATGAAAAAGACTAAACATTGCAATTTCATAGAGGTGCTAATATACAATACATCACAGAGGTGCAATATATCAATTTCACAGGGAGAGCTAAATCTGTGAAAAGCATTTAGTAATGTCTAGAGATTCATGGTTCAGTATACTTAAAGAACGCAGTTTTTAAGGGCTTGTGAATATTAATTTAATTTGTACTTCTTGTCAGGACTCTAGATACATTTCTTACTTTTCTGAAAATAGGAGCAATAAATATTTTTTCATTATAATTGACAGAATATCATATTTTAATTATTAAATTCGCAACATTAAAAATGAAAACCTATTCCTGTAACCTTTAAGCAAAAAAAATTTTTTACAATGTGTATGCTATTTGAGAACAATATTAACTTGTTAGCAAGTACTATAAAGGAAGGGAAGGGAAAAGAGATGACTTTAGCCTAATCTCTATTATTTACTTTTCCCATGTGGTTATAAAGTTTATCACCTCTTCATTCATCCCTACTCCCCAAAAATGTACTCCAAACTACACTTTGATAAGAATATAACTGATTACCAAGAAAGTGGAACATATTAATATATCCACTTTATTATATATTAATATTCATTAATATAGCTATTTCATAATTTTTAAGTAAATAGAAATAGCTATTCCTATGTAAAACTCCGTTAAAAAGTATTCCATAAAATATGATTTTTGTCTGGACTGAAAACATAATATTTATATTTCAACATAGTTATAAATTATATTAGTCATTGAGAATCTTTAAATTTAGCAGTATTTTCATAGTACATGACTAATTACCAAAGTGCTTTTCTCCCATAGGTAAAAGTCACAGGTGTCAAAATTCAAATCCCTTCATGAAATAGGTAGCTACATAAAGTGAATGGGTAGAAACTACAGAATGTAAAATAATAAGGAAGGTAAATGGGAGAGTAGACAACCCTTCTAAAAGCATTCAAATTCATTTAAATGAAGAACAGCACTGACCAAAATCAAATCATATCTTTGGGCTTATTTTGTCTTGGAGCTGCCAGGTTATAGCTCTGATGAATAATATCCCATCTAATATCAACTTAATAGCTATTTCCAGATCCTTAATGAAAGGTCACTTAAAATAATATTCAACAAAACAATATAAAACCTCACGACCTTCATTCAAACTCACCTTGTGCTTTTTCACTCAATGATTTAGACATATTAATGTAATGAAAATAGTAGAAAACTCTAGTATTAGATTCCTCAAATGCTAATAAGTTAATGATATGTCAAATTTAGGCCACATCAAAAAGAAGAAAGGGAGGGACAGAGAGAGGGAGGAAGGAAGGAAGAGTTCTCCCAATTCTTACTTTCTAAATCTAAGGCTGCTAGCACTCACTTGGACTTTTCTGTAGTGCAGTAAGCTGTCTCATCACCTAGACGAGGACTGATGACTTGAAAATTCCTTGATCTCTGCTCTGGCAATTCTATGCCCTCACATGTAGCTTCATTAACTAATTCATTGGATTTCTGATGCATGCTTCCCTTAGAATTCACAGGCAGTTGCTCATCTGGCTGTGTACTTTTGTTTCTCCCCGTGGTCTCTTGTTCAAGATAACCATGGGTTACGTCTGCATTTAAAACAAAACAAAAACATGAGATATGAAACGCCATCGTTACATATTAAATCAATCAAATGAATATTTTTGTGGAAATAAGAGCTCTCACAGCTTTAAATATGCACTTACTAACCTTACTCCTATTGTTATCAGACAAACATGTACAGGGTGATTTTGCCACAAATATTTCCACTTCCACAGTCAGTGGGCATTTATGACAGTGGTTTACAACCTTAAGTGCACATCAGCTGAGGAGTTTTTAAAAATCCTCAAGCTCAGGCCACATCTTCTACTAATTAAATCAAAATCTCTGGGAGTGATCACATGATTCCAGTATACAATCAAGGGTGGGAACCACTGACTTAGAAGTTATTATTTTCTACATTAACTTTTCTTTGCTAGATTTTGAAAAATAGGATGCAATAAGTTAACTGATTACAGCGAAATGATAATGTGCATGGAATTTGGGTATTGGACTGAGTTAAAATTCTGGCTTTGCCAAGCACATAACTTTGGGGAAATTACTTTACCCTTCCATACCTCAGATTCTGGTTTGCAAAATGGACACATAATAGTACTTACTTGAGTTGTTGTAAGGATTAACTGAATTAAGAATTAACGAATGCAAAGTGCCTGGCCTAGTGTTTGGCACGTCAATAAGTGTTAGCTATTATTTTTGTAATCATCATCATATAAAAATGGAAATAATATAAGGAGAATTATTTTTAACTTCCATTTTATCAGCTATGTATTATACACTAGAGTATATTTTGTAATGCCTGGCTATCTCATAAATATTAGTTATTTTAAGCTGTAACTAGTAAATAATAGCTATTTCAAAGGAAGAGTATATATCTGATGTTGTAGTGAAATTCTGGGGAGAAAATGACACACAAGCAAGTACACAAAACAAACTCTTTTAACCAGTAAATCAGATCAACAGGCACAAATACTGATTGTAACTAGGACTTTTATTATTTCCAACAGAAATAATTCTTCAACTTTTAAAAGCAGGTGAATCTCATGAATCTCACCTACTTGTTGATGATGCCTTCTTTAACTTGACAAATTTAAAATCCCTTTGAGGCAGAAGAAGAGTAGTTTTAGAGTAAAAACAAATGGGAAACATAAATAAGGTACTCATTCTTTAAGAAGAAATTCTTTGCTTACATATATGCTGAAATTAGGTAGAGCCAGTCATAAACTCCAAGTCCTGGACATTATCTTATTGGTGGCTGAATGCTAGATCAGAAACCATTCATTTTTGGTCAATTACTCTCTATTTCCCCGTGTTTGTGGGAATAAACTGGGAGAAAGTGCTATCATAATTACATACTGTGATGTATCTATGAAATTTCATTATATTTTGTTTTAAACTTTAACAAATATAGGTATCTGAAGATTATTTGTTGGTTCTTGACATTTCAAAACACTTAATTTGGGCTTCCCTGGTGGTGCAGTGGTTGAGAGTCCGCCTGCCGATGCAGGGGACACGGGTTCGTGCCCCGGTCCGGGAAGATCCCACATGCCGTGGAGCGGCTGGGCCCGTGAGCCATGGCCGCTGAGCCTGCGCGTCCCGTGCTCCGCAACGGGAGAGGCCACAACAGTGAGAGGACCGCGTACCGCAAAAAACAAAACAAAACAAAACAAACACTTAATTTGCTTTAGATGTTCATCATGCTACTTTTCTAGAATAGGCTGGTATTAGTACCCCCCAAATCTGAATGAGGTATTATAAAATTTTATAAATGGACACTAAGGAATACCACTATCATTAACAGGCCACGCGTTTTTAACACTAACATATAACTTTACAGGCAATTCAAAGAAAGAAAATTATAAAT